GGTGAAGGGAGGGCTAGGAATGGGGAAAAATTAAGAACCAAGATGCATCATGTAAAGGTACAATTCCCAATGAGAAATGTAATTGTATTGTATACCTAAAATGTACCAATAAAAGAATTTAACAAAAAAAAGAAAAAGAAATTGAACCCAGAAAGGGTGAATAAATTTTCCAAAAACACAAAGGATTCAAGCCTAAGAATATCACTCTGAAGTTTATCTCTTATTACATGGCTAATTAGACTTTTATAACCTAGTTTTTAATTGTCTATTTTATCTCCAGTATGTCTTCCATGAATAGATCTATTTACCTAGTCACTCACTTTTCTTCCAATTGGGCAGCTTTATAATTTCATGATTGGTCTACTTTGTTTAAATAAACAAACTTTATGCTCTGTCTCTGATCATCTATTTACGTTAAGATTACCCTCTGCTGCCCCCTGCAGATAATTTGAAAAAAAACCAATGCCAAGGTTTTCATGAACTTAACAAATTGAGTAAAAGCTGGGCTTTGAGATTTTCATCACAGAGCATACTAACATGCCTAAACACTGTACACTGCACATTTAATTTACATCTTTTGGATATTAAACACAACTAATGACTACCTAATGAATAGTATTGATATTATAACCTGAAAAGTATTATTAAAAAGGACAAAAATAATGAATGCCAGGGTGGTTTCATACAAACAATAGCATAAAGGATGGATGGATGGATGGATGGATGGATGGATGGATGGATGGATGGAAGAATGGACCAATGGTAGATTCCATGCCTCATTCCAGGAAAATTTGAAAATTGTCATCATTGGTTACCCCTGGAAGCTAACTCTGAGATGGAGTTTTAGTGTGAAGAATATTTTTGAGGAGAAACTTCAGATTCTCACTTGTAGAAATAAAGGGACAAAAATTGGTATGAGCAGGGAAAGAAGTAAAATTGTAATGTAGGTACACACCAGACTCAGCTACCCCATGCAGAGCTCTGGAGCTTAAACTACCTTCCAGAATTGTCCTGTATTGGCCCAAAAATGGGCAGGCTTTTGTGGTCCTGCATCTGTCAGTTTTTGGAGATAGGCACAAGAAGAACTAGAATTTTGGTGAGATCGCCCATCAGGGAGCTGAACTGTGGACAACACTATCAGTACTAGAGCAATAAAGTCCTTCACTGAAGGGCTTCTGATTATCTGCCATGTAGATAAATACTGGAAAATAATCTGCTCTGATTCTATCTCAAGTACAGGGGTATTCCACTCAGCCAATCCTGTCCATTCCCAAGAAACCAAATTAAGGCAAATTTTGTTAGAACTATAACTCAGAAGTAATTCAGCATTATGATGTTTCCTATTTGAGGCAATTTTGTTATTTTCATTATGAGTGGCACCTGAGAAGTCTAGAAAAATACAGAAAAAATGTTTTTAAAATATAAGCTTTGCCGGGTGTGGTGGCACACACCTGTAATCCTGGAACTCGGAAGGCAGAGGCAGGAGGATCACTGTGAGTTCAAAGCCAGGATGGGCTACATAGTGAGTTCAGGCCAGCCTGAATTGCATAGTGAGACTCTCTCTCAAAAGAGAAAGAAGAAAGGGAGGGAGGGAGGAAGGAAGGAGAGAGAGGGAGGGGGGGGAGAGAGAGAGAAAGAAAGAAAGAAAGAAAGAAAGAAAGAAAGAAAGAAAGAAAGAAAGAAAGAGAGAGAGAGAGAAAGAAAGAAAGAAAGAAAAAGAAAAGAAAGAAAGAAAGAAAGAAAGAAAGAAAGAAAGAAAGAAAGAAAGAAAGAGAAAGAAAGAAGAGAAGAGAGAGAAATCTTAGTTATATGTCTTGGTTAAAAACTAATATGGCACACCATTCTAAAGAAAGACAAGTATCATCTGATGTTCAAAAATTTTGAATAGCAGTATTTATAAAAAGTGAATATTCCATTAAAGAGGGGTACCTTAAATGTCTCAGGAAGAATAACTTTAACAAATAAATGAGTCAGATGTGGTGGCACATGCCTGTACCTCAGGGTATAAGTTAGTGCCACTGCAGAAACAGATTTAATGCAAAATATACAAATATATAAGAATTTATAAGATTGACTTACAATGGCCACCCACACGGGTGGAAAAGTGCAAAAGGGCTGTCTGTGTGCTGGAGATCTGAAGGATCCAGTCAAAGGCCCGGAGCTCCCTGTACTGTCTCTTGTGAGTCCATACCAGGAGGCTGAATAGTCTGCACTGGAAGCCAGGAGATGACGTCTGGGGTGAAGGTGAAGACTGGAGCTCCTCCAAAGAAACAGAAACAAGCCTTCCTTCTTCATTTACCTTTTTTTACCATTTAGGCAACAAATCTACCCAGGGTGGGTCTTCTGTCTTCAGTAAATCCCCTCAGCAACACCCAAAACTATGCTGATCCAATTTAATTGGGCATTTCTCACTCGAACTGACACAATCAGTTAACTATCACACCCAGCTATTTTGGAGACTAAGACAGAGGATTTCAAGTTCAAATCCAGCCTGGGCAACTTACCAAAACTTTATCTTGAAATTTAAAAAAAACAATAAAAGGGCAGAGAATGTAGCTCGGTGGTAGAACACTTGTCTAGCATGGGCTAGATCTTGGGTTCAATCTACAGTACCACAAAAATGAATGAATGAATGGTGTTCTATACATCTTTCTAGTCAAATAATACGCAGCATGAAGATTGTCTATCCTACAAGCTGACATTTGCCTGAAATCTCATTCAGATTTAATTGGGCCAAAATTTCTCAGGGGAATGACAAATGTTCTGTTGAACCATCACAATTTTATTATATCAGTGGCTTAAAAATTTTTTCCCCAAATAAGTTTTGACCAAGTTGTCTATCTTTTATAAGATGATAGAATGTTTTCAGTGAATAAATGAAAAATAGTTTAAATTGGTGGAACTTCAATATGTTAAATATGTTAAGAAAAATAATAATTTTTCCTAATTTTAAGGGTAATTAAGACTATAACCTCCGTTCAAACTCTACTTCTACAACTTAGACTTTGGTTATTGTATTTTTTATCTGTTCTAAAGTATCTTTTTTACTCTCATAAATATCTTATGTCATTTTTATAATTTCCACTTCTGCATAAATACGTTTTTGCCTTTGGTCTCCTGGAATATAAAAGAATATTTAAAGTCTCTGTGGGGAAATGTCTGTTCTGTGAAGTCTGGTCTCCTCAGGAGCCAGGCACTGTATTTGTTTTTCAAATTGTAGAAAATTTAAAAATAATTTAATCCTCTGTATGATTTTATTTTCCTCTGCAGAGGATTTTCACTTACTTCTGTTAGGAATCTGTGAATACTAGCAATCTGAGATCACCTTCATCCAAGTTAAGGGAATAGGATTTGGGAAGCCATCAGGTGACTCAAAGCTACAGTGTAATCTAAATATTAGATTTTTTGGTCCACCCTACCCAATCTACAGGACTGTCAAAAGCACAGCTAGGCAGGGGAATGGGGAAAAAAATAAGAACCAAGATACATCATGTAAAGGTACAAGAAAGATCCCAGTGATGAATGTAATGGTATTGTATACCTAAAATGTACCAATAAACTTAATGGGAAAAAAAAGCATAGCTAAACTCTCGTCTCGATCTTGTAAACAAATCAGCAAACATCACCAGGGTAAAAGTAGTTTCGATGCCAGGCTCATCCATTTGTATTTCTTTTTCTGGATCTTAGCCAAGTAATTCCCCTTTACTTTGCTAACTCTCACATACTGCTGGCAGGTTTTAGTATTATATTTTATTATTACATCCAGCTTTTCTATTTGTACTCAATGGAAAGCTGGTCTAAACTTCTTGGTGTGTCATCATCTGATATACAAGTCCTTCCCTTTGATTCTTCAACTTTTCCTATTTCTCAAAATGAATCAGCAATTTTTTTTCTTTCTTTGTGAACATTTCACACAATCTCCACTATATTAGATTAGGAAAATAAAGGATGGCTAAAGTAACAAATCCAAAAGCATGATTTTTAAAAATAATTCACTGAGTCATTTTACTTGTGGACAATAGCAAACAGATACCAGAAACTGAAGAACACTTATGTTTGGTGGCCATTCTATTTTATCATAATTTTCTTTGCTCTGTTATACTGAAATATTTATTTATTTTGATCAATTGTAGCATTGATTATGGAACTGGAATACACATGATCAGATATTCCATACATGCAGTGTAAGAATTTTTAAAACCTGAAGTCCTATATTAAGATATTTTTCCTTAAAATAATTTATGCTACATTAACATCTGTTTCTATGACTATTTTCCTACTATTTATCTTTCTTTGTTGCATGTTCTTATTCATTTACTTAATATTTACTATTGATAATTTTTGAGTGGCTTAATGTGATTTGAAAGTGCATCTAGGGGAATTTTCATTTAAAATACTGTTATGATTATGTCAGCTTGGGAAAAGAAGAAGTAAGGATTATGAGACTGTTAAAAATGTTTAGGTGTTGCATGTTCTATATCAAGAAAAGGAAGTAGATAACATCTTTTTTTCACTTAGTGTTTCTATATTTTACTTGGCTGAACATAATAAAGCAACTAAACCTATAATAAATGGTGTCCTCCTTTTAATGAATTTGTCCTTGGAGTACATAAGCCAACTATGACTGCTTCTTCTGGTGATGTATCAACTTTGGGAAAATGAACCAGGGTAAGCTAGTGCCACAAGTTGTTATATAAACTCTGATTGTTCAAAATAAGAACCCCAGAACCAGTGACAGAGGCACCATAAGGAGCCATGCCTCAGTCTTCAAAAGCAAATCACTGACAAAAGTTGGATATTGAAGTAGCTGAGAGCAGCTCCAGTGGCTAAACCACATTGCTTTGTGACTCCCACCAGCTGTGGGCTATGAAGGAAGGACTGGGGGAGACCCTCAAACTATACATAGCCAGGTGCAGTGGTATGCATCTATAATCCCATCATTCAGGAGGCTGATGCAAGTGGATTGAAAGTTCAAGATACAGCACCGTTCTTGCTCAGAACATTGCACCTGGTCTCAGTTTATCTTGTTTGGCTTTTTGGCTTTCTAATGGCAGATCCACTCAGCTCTTCTTGCTGTACATGCCAGCTTTCTTCTTGCTGTACCTGCCAATGTACTTGTTCACACTGCTGGAGAATCTGCTCATCGGGTTACTGTCTGGAATGAATGCAGACTATAGACATCCATGTACCCCTTCGCCACAGTCTTCAACTCTAAAAGCAGAGACATTTGAGGATGTGGCTGTGAACTTCACTGTGGAGAACTGGGATTTTCTGGATCCTTTCCAAAAGAAGCTATACTGAGATGTGATGTGGGAAATCTTTGGCAATGTAGTGGCTATCAGAAAAAACATGGCAGGACCACAAAATTGTAGATAACTACAAACATTGCAGGACAATTCTATGAAGTGAAGAGGTATAAAAATGCTGTGCAATCAACAATTATGGAATCAACATAAAAATATCTTGCTTTAGACTACAGATTCTAATGTGTATAACAAACCATGTGGTTGAAAACCAGCTGAAATCTTTGTTTATAGAAAGCCTCTGATTCATTCATCACTAAATGTGCCGCCAACCCCCAAAAAAGAAACATCATCATCCATCACTTAAGAATTAAATCAACCACACACCTAGTTAACGCCAAGCTCCTCCATCATCCACTTGGGTTCAGCTGGACCCTGGCCAGCTGACACAACCATGGTGGCAGCCCTGGGAGGAGCACACACCTATGGTTGGACAGTTGCCACAGCCTGGAATGTGTAGACAGAGGGGCTTCTGCAGCAGGGGGCTACAACCCACTAACCCACAGGCTGTAAAGCTATGCAAAGAAAATCATAACTTTCTGGACTCAAAAGACTGAAGATCCTGGAAAGGAATCATGCATTCAAAAATACAGAAGAATATTTTTGATTCATTGTTTTCTTTTCTCCACTGGACTTTTGGGGTTTAGGATATTTTTCCATTCCTCTTTTTTCTTCTTTCTTTCAAGATTTAATTTTCTCCTCATCTTCTTCTTCCTCCTCTTCCTTGTCCTTCTTATTATTTCTGTTTTACTCTTTTTATTTTGCTCTCTGCTTTTTTCCTTCTGTTTCTTATTCTCCACTGTTATTTTTATCAAATTGTATCAGTTTCCTTTCACCCCTTAATAGGATACTTAATCTCAGTTTTCTCTCCTCCCTCTCATTTCCATTGTGTAATTTTCTAATTTTACTTTTCCCATTTTTCCATTACCCATGCCCTCTATCTTTACTAGTATAACCATTAAGCTTTATTAATCTTTAGATAGCTAACTCTATATTGTCACTGTTTAATTCCTTTCTACTATTAGTAGAGATATAGTTGTTGCATTTAGTAGACATTTACTGTATGTCAATGCCTGGTTTATCTTAATGCACAATTTTGTTTCTTCTTTTTTTCTTTGCGCATAATTATATATTTCTTGTCTATGGATAAGAATGGTACAATAATGGCTCTTATGGTATGTCAATATGCTGCTTTTCTTTGATGCAATTATTGTTGCTGATTTTGTTGCTATTGACAATGTGGAATAGTTGTTGGTATTAACTGGCTTTCTCTGTATGCCAATATCTGGATTGTCTTTGTTTCATTCATAATACTGCAGTTCAATGCCAGAGAACTAGGTGCTGGACCAATCACATTGCATCCTCCCAGCCTTTTTTCAGTCTATATGTGATCTTGATATAGCTTATTCCTGTCCACAACTGGTTTAATTTCTTCTTGACAAAATATGTCCTATGTACTTTTATCTCAGACACATACACACACATCTGTGATTAATCTTATAAGAGAAAAACACAGCTATCATTAATGTTACCAAAGAAAACATGGCTGAAGTGTTCCATCAAAATAAGCAATGCCATAATATTGAGAGTGCCTTGTTGTTCAACTGTTGAAGAAAACAACTATATTTAGTGTGATTATCTTATAGTCTATATAAGTTGATGTTATTTAATGCTTTGTTAACTATAGTTTTATATTTCTGAATCTAAAACCTTTAACATTGATCACTATTGTGTATGCTTTTAATAAAACTTATAGCATATTTTATTGTAAAAGAAAAAGTACCAAATAATTAATTGTTTGTATCTACAGAATTTAAGACCTGAGTAAGTTGTCATTAAACAGTAGCTTCAGAAATTACCCAAACTGGTTTGCCACTGGAAGACCTACAAAAATGCGTTGTGAACAAACTTAGGGTTAGGCAGGTATACAAATCAGTTATTTCCATTCTTACCATTC